AGTTGCCCAGGCGGTTCTCGAACCCGCGGGCTCAGGCAATCCACTCACCTCAGCCTCCCAGGGCGTGGGATTACAGGCTGAGCCACCAAACCCGGCTAATATTGCATATTCTTGGCATCTCTTTCTTGCTTTTCTCCTTCCCTCTCTTTCTGTTTATCCATTCATTCATCCAGCACTTATTGAGAGTCTGTAATGTGCCAGGTGGTATGGCTGAGGCTGGGGACTAAACTGTGAGCCAATAGGCCTTGCTCTCAGGGCTTACAATGTAGTGGAGGGATGGACAAGACCATAGGCCATGATAACAACTCAGTGTCACAAGCTATGTTAAGGTGGACACAGGGGATTTTGGGAACCTGAGGATGGCTTTCTAAGGAAAGTGACATCTCGTCTGAGAGCTGAAGGGTGACCTGTGGGTGGCAGGTGAAGTGTCAGTGTGAACAAATGGGGGCAGTGCACTCGCAAGCCTGGAATTCGGAGGCATCTGAGCAGGGCACATCTGCAGGGATCTGCCCGGCACTGCAGCAGCTTCTGCCCTGCTCTGGAAGTGTTTGGATGCCATTGCCAACACTTGCTCGGGGACTTTCTTTTCCATCCTCCTGAGCCTGTACAGCCCTCCTGTGGCAGTAATTCTTCAGGAAAGTCATGCCTTCGTGCAAGCTACAGCCAAGTCTTGCTGCCCTAGAAGCCTTTTCATCTCTTTGTATTAATCTGTTCTGGTGTATTGTTTGTTGACCCAGAGTTTAAATCTTATGTCTTATTTCCATGTTTTGAAAGCTGTAACTTTTATGTTTTGTCCTGACCTATCCCCAGAGCTCCAAACTTGTATATCTCACTGTCATTTTAATGTCTCTACGTGGATGTTGACTAGGTACTCCCAAGTTAACTTTGACAAAACAAAACTCTTGGTTCCCACATCCCACGATCTGCTTATTTTTATCTTTGTAATGGTACCGTATCTGGAGTCCCTTAAGCCAAATTTCTTTCTACCTTAGTATAATCCATTAGCAAGTTCTGTTGACTCTGCCTCCAAACCCATTTATTTTTCATCTTCACTGTGGCCCTCTTGTCCAAGCCACTGCTGTCTCCTTCGGGACTACTTTAGGAAGCTTCTCACTTGTTCCCTGCTTTCTGTTCCTGCTTCCCTACACAGTGTTCTTCACACAGCATGCAGTTAATGTTTTGTTTGAATCGTGTCATTTCTTTGCTTGAATCGTGCAGTGATTCCCTGTCTTATTTAGGATAAACCCCAAATTCCTCAGGTTTCATTTGGTAGGATGACAATGTATATACTCATCCCATCTGGCATGGATCTCACCACACCAGTCCTGCTTCTGTTTGTGTGTCTTGACCTCTATCTGCTTCTGTCATGTGTATCTGTGTCTCCGTGTGTTTCTTCTCAGTTTACCTCTGTGTGTGTCTCTCTGTGTCATTGGGTTATTTCCCTGTTGCTGAAGATTTCTTTTTGCTTCTCTCTGTTTTTTTTTGAGTTGGAGTCTCACTCTGTCACCCAGGCTGGAGGGCAGTGGCCCGCTCCCGGCTACCGCAGCCTCGACCTGCTGGGTCCGGCAATTCTTCCGCCTCAGCCTTCCAAGTAGCCGGAAGTACAGGCACGTGCTGCCATGCCCAGCTAATTTTTTTTGATTTATTGTAGAGATGAGATCTCTCCAAGTTGCCTGGGTGGGTCTCGAATCCATGGTCTCAGGCAATTCACTAGCTTCGGCCTCCCATAGTGCTCGGATTACAGGCTGAGCCACCAAGCCCGGCCTTGTTTCTCTTTCTTTAAAATAATATAAAACTGAGTGTCATTTTATCTAATGAGTAGAATCTAAAAACAGATAAGCAAAATTCTTTTACTCTCAAAAGCACAAAAGAGTAAACGTTTATTGTTTTCTTAAACTGGTGGGTCCCTCTGTTGCTCATTCCTTCTCCTGTGAGTCAGTGGTCCTTGGCAACAAAAAGATATCTGATCCCTCGAATCCAGGATTCGCTGCTGAGGAAATATGAAGAATCTATAGATCTGCCTACTGTCCAGTATGGGAACTCGCCATGCTTGGCTTTTGATCTTTAAGCTTAAATTAATTAAAAGGAAATGAATGGCACTAACTACATTGCAGTAGCTAGTAGTTGTACTGGCTACATTTCAGTGCTTAACGGCCACAGGTGGCCAGGGGCTACTGTGTACTGAGTACTGAGTACTGTGTACTGAGTACTGAGTACTCTAGAGAACATTTTCATCACTGCGGGAAGTTCTGTTGGACAGCACTGCTATAGTATATTTTATGTGTAGCACTGTCATACTTATTACCCAAAAGTTTTATTTAAAACCTCTAAAAAAAAACTACGACAAGAACATCAAAAAAATCATGTGAACCTACACACCAACATGCCACTAGTAATTGATCTTATCAAATAAATGGCACATGAAATGGAAGACTTTGTGAAAAGAATGCCAGTTGTGCATTGGATCACAAAGCACTGGTCATTCTTGCTTAAAGAGCTAAGTGTGCTTCTCATTTTTATTCCAGATGATCCTGTCCACGCAGCGCCAACCACGTCAACGCGCGTGTTCTATATCAGTGTGGGGGTCTGTTGTGCAGTGATTTTTCTCGTAGCAATAATACTCGCTGTTTTGCACCTTCATAGTATGAAAAGGATTGAACTGGATGACAGGTAATGTATCTGTTTTGGGAAAGGGAAAAAAAAGCAGTTGTTTGTTTACATGTGAGAGCCCATACACACCCATCCATGCCCGCTGGTGCCGGGAAGGAGGGAGGCCGACCAAGCCCAAGCCAGAGGGAAAATGAGATGACCTCATCACTGCTTGTGCATCTCTGATTTCAGTTTTCAGAACTTAGTGAAGTCAGAAATTGTGGGTGGTTGGGGAAGAAATGGAAATGTTTTGCCTTTTTAAATAGCCCCGCGTCTGCCTTCTAGATCCTCCCTTCATTGTCTTCACCCACCCATCCTCCCACCCGTCCAGTAAACATTCACTGATACATACAGACATATATAAGCATTTATTGAGCACCTGCTAGGATTTAAATTTAGTTAGCAATAGTTTAGAAACGACTGTTTCTCTACCTGGTTACCCATTAGAGTCATGGGGAAGCTTTTAAAACATACCAGTACTTGGATCCACCTTTTACAGATTCTAGTCTAATTGGATTGGAATAGTGTTTGGGCATCGGTATTTTTAAAGCTTCCTGGGAGACCAGGTGTGGTGGCTCACACCTATCATCTCAGTACTTTGGGAGGCAGAGGTGAGAGGATTCCCTGAGTCCAGGGATTTGCAACCAGCCCGGGCAACTTGGCAAGGCCTTGTCTCTACGATAAATCAGAAAATTAGCCAGGCATGGTAGTGCACACCTGTATTTCTAGCTACTTGGGAGGCTGAGGCGGAAGGAAGGATCACCTAAGCTCAGTGGATGGAGGCTGCGGTGACCGTGAGCGTGGCACCGCACTTCAGTCTGGGTGACAGAATGAGACTCCTACTCAGAAAAAAGCTTCCTGGATGATTCTGATATACAGTCGATTTGAGATACGTTGGGTTAGATATTACACTAAGTGCTGGGACCACAAAAATTAATGATATGCTTCATGATGTCAAGGATTTAATCTTTCACGGTAACCCATGATTATAAAAAGCACGTAAATGTGATTATGGTGATAGGCATAGCATAGAGTGGGAATACGAAAGGTGCTTGGCCCAGCCCGATGAGTCAGCGGTGACGAGGAGGGTGTTGTAGTCAGGACAGTGTGAGAGGTAAAGACGGAATGGCAGACAGACTTGTTTTCACAGCTCGCAATTCTTGCTTCCCTCCTCAGTAACCCCAGCTTCTGACCGAAGACATTCCCTGATTCGTGGCTCGGCTTTCAGCGCCTCCTTTTTGTGGAGGTGTAGCCCCCAAACTGTCCCCTTCTTAGATATTTTGACTTGTGCTCTAGCCTAATGACTCCTCCCTTTTGCCCTTCAGGGCGTGTGTTCATGCTTTCCTTTTGCCTACAGAGATCCCTGAATTTTCCGCTGGTAGAAACTTGGTCTACTGTTCAGATTCCAGATCCACTGACATCTCTTTCATGAAGTCTTTTCCAAGCCTCCCAGTCATCCCTTTTTGCCTCTGTGCCTCTCTCTCTCTCTCTGTCTCTCTCTCTCTCTCTCTCTCTCTCTCTCTCTCTCTCTCGGTAGCAATTATTGTACTTTTTTCTTCTATAATTTTTTGTGTAGTTGTCTTATCCCGTCTTACAGAATGTAAGCTCTTTCCATTTGGGATTCAGTGCTGAATTCTAGTCTTAACACAGTCTCGTACATACAATGAGTCATCATAAACGAGAATATGAGGGGCGAGGGGCTGGCTGGACTCAGTCCTTGCCCCCAAGCACTCTTTGTCCCCACTGTTTTACTCTCTTTTCCTGAGTAGAGAAAGAAGAGAAAAGGAGTAAGAATGCGAAGAGAAGGACGTGGGTGATGTGTTTCAGAATGTGTTTTGTGTACATGGTAATGTTGAAGTTGGATTTAGATCTTACGGAGGGACAGACAGCATTGGGAGGCAACCGAAGGAACTTTCTGTTAGGGGTTTGAGCAAGGACACAAGGAGAGGGGTCACCGAAGAGCAGGGCTTCTCCTTGAACGCTTGTTTTTGAGGATGTGTGGGCTGTGAGCCCAGGCAGGCCAGAGTTGTACAGGGACTTCCCAGCTTCACGGGCACATGCCTCTGCCTGCTGAAGCAATCAGTTACCATTCACAGCTGGGTATTCCAGTTCTCTGTAGTTTCAGGCAGAAGTCTCCAGGCATTGCCCGAGTTTAAGCAGCTTACCTTATCATTTGTTTCTAGAGCATAGCCTAGTGGTTAAGAGCATGAACTTGGGGGCCAGACCGTCTTTGCTCGAAGTCTGGCTATTCTACTTACTCTACGAGTTTTATGGCCTAGGTAGAATAAGTTATATAGTCAGTTTCTCCCTCCTTTGTAATGTGGAGATACACATCTAGTAGGCATCTTGTGAGATTTTAATACTGTAAGCTCTTAAAACTCAGCCCTACATGAAGTAAGTGCCATTTCTATGATTTTTGTTTTCAGAAAGTTGCAGTATGCTAGTAGTGATGGAATGTAGGCTTCACAAGGATAAGAATCTTTGTTATGTTCACTGCTTTATTCCCAGAACCCAGCACAGTGCCTGGCATGTAGTGGACACTTAATAAGTATTTGTTGAATGAATGAATAAATAAATAAATAGAATTGTACAAAAAAATTTAAAAAGTACGAATTATAATAAGTGCTTTGAAGGAAATTATCTTTGACAGTGTTCTAACTTCTTTCTAAAGCAGTGTAATATCTCCATAACTAATCTGACTTGCTTATGAAAGTCAAATGAGATACCTAGACTTGTATTAAGTTACTGTGTTATCAAATATACATTTTCTTACTCTTTACCACTGTGATACAGCTATGTAGGCATTGACTTTACAGATGTTAGGTGTAGGTCCCTGACTGTGCCTTGCTTCTCTTAGCAGTAAGTCTTGGGTTCCAAAGAAATTTTGTTCTGGCCACTTGGCATAGTGCTTTACTTACTGTAGAGACCCACTTAATATCTGTTGAAGGAAGAAAAAAATTCACATGGCTGTACATATAACACCTTTGTGTGCTTACAAGCTTTTTAAAATTCTAAAGTGATGCAAGAGTGCCACCTACTGTCCAGTTATAATGGGGGAGAAATGGAGTCTGTGATTATTTACCTGTCCATGATGCTGGCTGCAGGTAATAGTAAAGTAGTGCTTTCACATGTATCGTGCGATTTGAGCTTCACAAAAATCCTGCGAGATATTTACCCATTCTACCGGTAAATAAACTGACATCCTTTATTTCTTCCTTTTAGAGGATGGTATTGCTTCTCTACCCATTATTGAATTTTGGACTTCAAAATTATTAGTCAGATCCTTGAGTAGTGCTAAGGACAGTGAAAACAGAGTCCTATAATTCCTATCTTTCTAAGGATCGGGATGCTTAATATTCATGATAATAAAAATAACTAGTAATAATCATTTATAAAGGTATGTTTTGCATGCCAGGCACTGTCCTAAATGCTTTACTTACAAATTTTTTATGTGGTCTGTTTGCAATCTTGTCAGGATATAGTATTAATGCTTATTCTATTCACAAGGAATTTGAGGTTCTAGATAGATTAAATGGTTTGCCCTCGGCCATACAGCTAGTAACTGGTGATGCTGACAACTCTGATTTCAAGGTTTGTGCGCTCTGTCTCTTTACTATATTCACCCATACTCAGTATACGTGTAAACACACATAGATCAGTTCTGGAATAACCTCCAGCCTAAAAAACTCTTCCAGAACTCTGAACAGATGATAGCCTGATGAATCCTTGTTATATTCTCTTTGAGTTGGAAATTATCCTCAGCAGAGTAGCTGGGAAACAGGGCTGACTGCTGTGTCGCAGGAAGAAGTAGATGACCTAAAGTGATGGCATCTTGGGGGAAGGCATGCGGGGGGATATGGCATTAGACAGACGTATCTTCAGGTGCATGGTGTGCTCAGCCATGGCTTGCGTATAATGCATGTTCTTTCAAGTATTTGTCGTAGGACATTCCTGTCTTGATTTTTACAATGATTTTTTTTCAGAAATGTTTTACTTGCAATAGCAAAAAATAGTAGATTGCATTATTAGTGATGAAAAGGCTACATCCAGGTGTTGATTGCCTGGATGTTATATATTTACATTTTTCCACATGTATGACCTAAAGAAACCAGGAATTTATTTATAAAAACTTGTGTGTGTATTGTTTAAACTTCAGTCACCTTCAAAGTACTCTGATACAATACAGCTATCGAGGTATTTTTTCCACTCAAAACAGTTTTTGAACTCATCAGTTTTGATGCCTTTTAGTGCTTCTGCCATTTTTTCCACCTCTTTTACATTGACAAAATGTTTCTCTTTGATGACTTTTCATACAGGGAAACAAGTTACTCAGGGAGAGCTTGGATGAATGGGGAAGGGGGGGGATGGGGGGAGTTCATCCCGTCTTTGCTCAAAAACTGCTGAACACAACAGCACAGTGTGGGCAGGTGTGCTCATAAATCACCCATCATGAAATGGGCAAATTGTTGAAAGAATCTCCAAAAAAAATTAACTGAAGCCGAACGCAGCCTCTCACAACAGCATTAGCTGGTACACTGATGCCAATGGGTTTCTAGAACACTTTCCTAGTGGGGGAAGCTTGTACCACAAGGGGCCCATCCTCCAAAAAATAATTCTGGATTTTTCTTTTTTTTTTTGATCCTCTCCTGTATGTGTGGGCTCTTGAAATTAGTAAGATAGAAGTTCATATTTAGGTGTTACAGATTCTATAGTAGTACTTTATCATTATTGTTTTTATTTTTAGGAGATAGGATTTCGCTATGTTGCCCAGGCTGGCCTCAAACACTGGGCTCAAGTGATTCTCCCACCTCAGCCTCCTGAGTAGCTGGGACTACAGACACTTGTCACCATGCTAAGCTCTATTATATATTTTATTAATCACCAGTTTTTGAAAATACAGAATTACCATGTAGGGAGTATTAGTTAAAATTTTGCATATTATGGAAATTTGGAGCCTCTCTGATTGGACACTGTTGATCTTACAGCTAATAGAGGCATGGAGGGCCTATCTTGCCATCTGGATTCACTCTTCATGCTAAATTTTTGTGGTTCACTTCTCCACTGTGGCAAAATTACAAGGACTGAGGTAGTGAGACTGGAAGGTGCCTAAGACTGACTGGGACAAGGCTGCTACTCATGAAAAGACAAAAATACTTGTTTGAGAAGCATTAATGTGTAGTCATCTTGAACACAGGATTAGCAACGACATGAGCCTACCATCTTCTGAGTCTCCTGTGTTATTTAAAGTGTATGATATAATGTAGTGTTTCAAGTACTAGAGATATCTGAAAAGTTTCATAAATTACTTTTTTTTCCCCCAATACAAAATATATTATCAAAATCCCCAAGCTACAGGTTTAGCATTAGGAAAAACATACAACCCAGCTGGCCAAGTTAGTCCATAACAATCTATTCCCAAACAAACTTTTCAGGTAAACATAAATATACATCTCTAGTTAATGTTCTTATTTCTAAATTCTAACCACTGTCACAGACAAAATAAGGCATAGCCTTTCTCTGTGCTTTGTAGAACTTTTTTCCTTCCTCTTATGGGATTCCCACAAGTTTCTAGAAATGCCTCTGATGTCTTGGACATTTCTACTCCACAGAGAAATGCACTTCAGACGTATGTACGTTGGGTAACTGGCCTACCAGCAGACAGTTCCCAGGCTGAAGTTGAGGGTGTGACTACGAATCCTGGAATACTTTGAGGCTATCCAAGCCATGCATTTCCCATTCAGGTCCCCCACCAGGGGTCTGAACTCTGTAGTCCAAGTCACTTCCCAGTGTGCTCCCCACTGAGATGTTGTTTTTCCTTGCTCTTCTTTCCAAGAATCTTCACTCATGTTTGAGATGCCAACTTTCACTTGGCTGGGTTGAATTAACCCAATATTCCCTGATGTCTAACCCTTTTCACACAGCTGTGCAAATTATGGCGGCTAAGTACATAAATGTAACAAAGTTAAGGCTCAGTGTGCATGAATAATTTCTCCTTGCCACTCAATCACTATATGGCACCTCACACTTGAAGTAACATACACAGAACCCACCCTGCCTGGCACAGATACACTCAACATGCTATAATAAGTATAATTTCCATTTTATTTTTCCCAGAGAGTTCTTCAGTCCCTAAGGACTGAGCTCCTTACATGGGCTTGGGTGGAGGTCGTGGGGCAGCACCCGCGGGTCTGACTCCAGTGGGGGGTTCAGTCCTTGCGGGCTTCGTGGATCGGATCCCTCACTGCTTTGCGGGGCATGGCACAACTCACGCAGTCGTGTAGCTTCACTTACAGCTTGGGAAGCACATGGGCGGCGACGACACTCGCTTCAGAGGTGTCCCTGGCAGCAGCCGCCTCCGCTTGTTTCGAATGACGGACTTCTTTTTTTGAGTCGGAGTCTCACTCTGTCGCCCAGGCTGGAGCGCAGTGGCTGCTCCCGGCCACCGCAGCCTGGACCTGCCGGGCTCCGGCGATCCTTCCGCCTCCACCTTCCGAGTAGCCGGAACTACAGGCGCGCGCTACCACGCCCGGCTGATTTTTTGATTGATTGCAGAGATGAGGTCTCGCTGCCCAGGCGGGTCTCGAACCTGCAGGCTCAGGCCATCCACTCACCTCAGCCTCCCAAAGGCGCGGGATGACAGGCTGAGCCACCGAGCCTGGCTGAATGACGGACTTTTTAATAGCCTTACCCTTGGGCATGCATTGGCCGCAGTTTGTGCAGCAAATGGGCTGCACATGGCCGCGGCCCTTTTTGGCATGACCGTTGTTCCTTCTTTTCTTTGTCATCCTGGAAGCGAGGACCCGAAAGAGTTTTTTTTTTTTTTAATTTTTTTGAGTTGGGGAGTCTCACACTATTGCCCAGGCTATAGAGTACAGTGGCACAATCACAGCTCACTGCAGCCTGACCCTCCTGGGCTCAGGCAGGCAGTCCCTCCACCTCAGCCTCTTAAGTAGCTGGGGCTATAGGCATGCACTACCATGCCCCGCTAATTTTGTGATTTTTTTTTTGTTTGCAGATTCGAGGTCTTACTATGTTGCCTAGGCTGGTCTTGAACTCCTAGGTTCAAACAGTCCTCCTACCTTGGCTTCCCAAAATGCTGGGATTATAGGCATGAGCCACCACACACAGCCAAGTTCTATGAATTCTAAAAAGGAGGAATTGGGAAAGTAGAAGCAGCAAACGAACTCAAACCAAAAATGATCCTCCTTCCCAAGCTTGATATTCCCTTATCTGTATGCCATTTGATTTGAGGCCCCATTAAATGAGGCTTGTCATTGTGCTTCTCTTCTAGAAAGCAATCTAACTGAATGGACTAGGCCTTTTTTTTGAGAGATGATTCTTAGTTCCTTAATAGGTTTTTGTGTGAGGTTCAGGACTGTTATCTTAGGTGTCTGAGGACTAGTATCAATATTCTGAATAATTTTGATAAGATGAACCCACTTAGTGACTTGGAGATAGAAAAGAAAGACAAAAATAGAGCTCTATGTAATGAAGCAGATGCAAATTTCAGCATGGAACATTGTGAATTGTGGTTTCTGTCAGGATAATAGGCTGGTTATAATGGCTTCATGCATTTTGTATGTATGGAAAAGGAAATTTCTCATTGAAGCTGACTTGTCAAATAATTCTCTCTTAAAAATTGTTTGCAGCATCAGTGCCAGCAGTAGTTCCCAGGGGTTGTCTCAGCCATCTACCCAGACGACTCAGTATTTGAGAGCGGACACACCCAACAATGCAACTCCTATTACCAGTAAGCGTTAATTTAATTCTGAAGCCAGTTTACTAAAGCTGTCTGTGCCTTTTGTTAGTGGTCCTGCATGGTTAGTGCACTTTTGCTACATATTATGTAAATATGATCTAAAGTGTGCCAAATTAGGTATGATCTTCAACTTTTGCTCTCTAGAGCAGGGAATGAAACATTTTAAAATTGGGGTACTAAGGGATTGGCAGTAGTGGGACACTGCTGGGAGGGAGGCTTGGGGGGCATAACATCAGTAAGGGTACCTGAACTTTACCTGTGCGATGACCACGTTGTACCCCACGCCTTTAAAATAAAAAATAAAATAAAATCAAGTTTAATTGCTAGAATTGTTTTGCTTTGGGGAGATTCCACATAACTACCTAAGACTCTCCTTCTGAGTTTCCATACAAGTGATTTAATAGCTTTTTAACTTTCGTAGATTGATTTTATTAAAAGGCTACTAAGTCACATGTATAGAAACTCAGAAGGAGAGTTTTAGGTAGTTATATGGAATAGGCCATTGAGCTACATAAAGGCAGAGACTTTGGATATTAATGACTTGTTTGATGATTTTATGGGCCACAGTAAAGACTACATTGTTTTCTAATCATAATAGGAAGTTAGCTATCGTTGGAGAGGTGAGAGCACCAGATCTGATTTCTTTCCTTGGGTTGGCATTTATTAGTAAAATATGATTAAGAATACCCTCCACCTAATACCCTGTTGTAGTTTTTCTATACTGGTTCCCATGAAAGAGAACCAGGATAACTAAGGCTCTAACAATACTCTCCTCTACCAACTGGCTTATATGAACTGTGTTTTAGGGTAACCACATAGTACTGGGTGATGGTTCTCAGCTAACAAACAGGGAATGGCAGAATTAGAAAATCACACTCACAACTCCAGGTAAACTGACTCAGGAAACGGTCATCAGTGATTAAAACTCTAAGCAAAAAGAGAAATGGGCAACTTTGCCATTGAGGCTTCAGGCTGTTAACACCTGAATCCACGGGTGAAACTTGGTGTTACTAAGAGTGGGACACCTAGATACTTTGTACGTCAGAACATGATGTACCAGTCATGGAGTGTCCTTATGTCCCCACTCTGCCCTCCAGAAATTAACCTGTATCTAATCAAGTCTATAGAATCTGCTTGCAGATTATGGGATACACAGGACTAGAGGAACCAGTTAAATGCTACTAGAAGAAGTAGATGATGAACATTTTTCAGGGTAATAAGACAGCAGCAAGAAAAAAAGGAGGGAGCAGGAGACATTCCATTTTAAACTATTTTTAAGAGAAATAATAGTAGCAGTGACCATAACCACCAGTGAAAGAAAGAAATACATACTTTTCAGGAAATACAGTGATAGATGTGAAAGTAGTTTAAACTGTTCAGAAGAAGCACATCATTGCTTTTAGCGTTTAGATGTCAAGCTTTGCTTATTAGAATTGGTTCTTAATTGTTATAGGACCTTAAAGAGGTAGATAATTAATTCAGTTATTATATATGTTAGAAATATTTTCTTTAAAAGTCAGTGGAAATACACTTATCGTAAAAATGTTAGTTGCCATCAGTAAAAAATTTAATTGTTTTTAATTATGGATATTACCTTAAGCTGCTTGATAATGCATTTATTATGTGTGCCATAAACGAAGTACTTTTTAAAAAGGTAAATAGAAATACATTTGTTTATAAATAAAAAAAAGAAAGGAGCAGAAAAAATATTTGAAGACGTAATAGCCAAGAATTTTCCAAAGTAACAGAACACGCTGGGCTCGGTGGCTCAGCCTGTAATCCCGCGCCTTTGGGAGGCTGAGGTGAGTGGATTGCCGGAGCCTGCGGGTTCGAGACCCGCCTGGGCAGCGAGACCTCATCTCTACAATAAATCAAAAATCAGCCGGGCGTGGTAGCGCGTGCCTGTAATTCCGGCTACTTGGAAGGGTGAGGTGGAAGGATCTCCAGAGCCCAGCCGGTCGAGGCTGCGGTGGCTGGGGGCGGCCACTGCACTCCAGTCTGGGCAACAGAGTGAAACTCCAACTCAAAAAAAAACCAAAAAAAAACCAAAGTAACAGAACACAACAGACCGCAGATCCAAGAAACTAAACGAACTCTAGTCAGGAGTAAACATACCTAAATACTCACGTGTATCTGCACAGTCAGGCTGCTGGGTTTGGTTTCAGGTGTTGTCAGGCTGCATCTGTTGTCAAGGTGCCCAAAACCTTTGCATGCAGTTCTTTTGGCAGCCACTGCAGGTCGTTGTGTAGGCTCGGTTTTTTAGGGCGGTTTCTTCCCAGTGTCTACTAAAACTGATAATTGGTCAGAGATGCCATTCCAGCTTCCTGGATTTTCCTTTTCTTCTAACATTTTTTTCTTGGGGTGGAAACTTTAGTTTGTGACTGTAAATTTTATTTTTGCTGTCATTGTATTAAGAATGAATGAGAATTAGGGGAATTTAACAAAAGTTGAATCTCACAATGGTATTTAGGCTGTGGTAATACCAGAGTAATTAAATTGACTATGTATTTTGTTAGAAAAGATTTTTTTTTTGGAACATATCTTCATTTGAAAATTTCCTTTATCATGAGACCATGTTGAACATCTTGGGAGAAAAACCGTTCATAAGAGAGATTAAATTAAATTTCATGAGACAAAGCTTGTTTCATTTGACTGAGAGACAACCGAAGTAGTAGTAACGGTATATTATTTTTAGGATTTCTTGTTTTAATTTAACATTTAACACTTTGGTAAGTATTGTGGATAAGGAGGCATGTCTTTACAGTTTAATGTGGCCTTCATAAGTGACCCACCTGGATCATGCATATGCCTGTTTCCTTTTATGATTCTCATACTCAGTCATTCCTATGACTTGAATCCTGACGTTCTGACTGAACTCATTGACCCCAGTGCCATAATAAGGTATTTATATTGCTTGGTTTGGCCTTGTTGGCTCCTCAGGTTATCCCACCTTGCGAATAGAGAAGAACGACCTGAGAAGTGTCACTCTTCTGGAGGCCAAAGCCAAGGTGAAGGATATAGCAATATCCAGGGAGAGGATAACTCTCAAAGATGTACTCCAAGAAGGTATTTATCATCTCAAAATCAGTTTTTTAAGTAGGAGTGAATGTTACACCACAAACATCTTTCTCAACCAGTTTTAAAAGTTCATCTTATTTGGTATCTTAAAAAGCAATGTTCAGTTTATTTATTTTATTAAAATGATTTTTATTTTCTTTTTCTTTAGACTTTAATGTGCCTTCTACAACTTTGGTACAATTCTTGATTTTCAGTATGTTAAAGCATACATATTAGAGCTTGTTACCTTAAAGGCGTATTTCTGTTTAGTTCTTCTTTAAAGTCATCACTACCTAGCAAGTCTCTGAAATGTTTTAGGTCATTTTCTCTCTGTCAGATAGTATGGGGGTTCCAACAGAGGGAACGTGCATGAACTTTGGCGTTAGACCCGGGTTCTAGTCATATGATTTATTATCTGGGTTACCTTGGAGAAATCACTTAATGTCTTTAGTCTCCAGTTTCCTCTTCTGTAAATTTGGACTTAGACTAGTTATGAAGATTAGATACAATGAAGTGCAATAAGTGAACTAACACTTAACAGTGTTTGCTAGACTCAGCACCCTTCCTTTTCCCCCTTGCAGGCCCTTGCTTTCTTTTTGAGTTTTAGGGTATTGCCTGCCTAAAGAGAAGGACCAAAATTAATAATGAATTATGGCATAGAGCTCTTCAGGCTGTTAGAGAATTACTTTTCTACTCCTACCATGTTTTAGATGCATTTGAGTCCTTCTCTACTCATCTGTTGTTTGAGATACCTCTATAGATCAGTTGCATCTAAGTCAGGTACTTAGACTGCCTGAATGGCAAATGGCAATTAATAAAAGCAGGTGAATGCCACTTGTCATAGTTGTCTGTTTTCTAAGCGTGATCAGTTTTCAGATCTGTCTGTAGTCTGAAGAGAGTAAGTAGATCAGGTAGCATTTCCTGAAGAATCAAAGAAATGTGGGACCATTGAATACTGTCTTATTTGCTGTTTCTTTTCGTGTCTAAATGGGATAGAATAAGTAATTTATTGTAATGGTGTGATTTGAGGAAATTCTAAACCAGGGAGAGTTTTGTTGCTTTTGGTGTTTCAAGGCTGTGGTCGTTTATTTTTAAATTCTATTAATTTCAGAAAAGAAAACATAGTGTCTAATAAACATTTTAAAAAATGATCAAGCCGGGCTCAGTGGCTCAGCCTGTAATCCCGCGCCTTTGGGAGGCTGAGGTGAGTGGATTGCCTTAGCCCGCGGGTTCGAGACCCACCTGGGCAACTTGGAGAGACCGCATCTCTACAATAAATCAAAAATCAGCTGGGCGTGGTAGCACACGCCTGTGATTCCGGCTACTCAGAAGGCTGAGGCGGAAGGATCACTGGAGCCCAGCGGGTCAAGGCTACGGTCGCCGGGAGTGGCTACTGCACTCCAGTCTGGGCGACAGAGTGAGACTCCAACTCAAAAAAAAAAATGATCAGATTCACTGGAAATCTGATAAATACAAATCAAACAATAGTTACATGCCATTTTTCATCTGTCAGATTGAGAAAAATGAAAAGTTGACATTAAATTGAAAAGCTAGATCATATCCAGGCTGACAGTGGCATGGAGAAAGAAGCTCTCATGCTTCTGTGCTGGCAGGAGTATGAGTTGTAATCTTGTGGTGAAATATAGATGTACAGATGGACTTTGTGTGTGTTCCCCACATCCATAGTGTGTGTGTGTGTGTGTGTGTAAGTCCATGCTGGGGAATAATATTTTGAAATGGGACTAGGGAAGAGATGACAGAGAGGGGATTTTGCAGTGCTGTGTTGGGAGAATGAAGCTCAGTCAAGCAAGGTGAACTTGAGCGCGTGTGGAAGGGAAGACCTTTGTAAGGAAGGGGCTGGCAGGTCAGGATGTGTGGCTCTGTGCATTGACTCGAGTGCTGAGGATATTTACTCAGCTCTAAACAAAATGTCTCAAAGGTTATCTGACCAGGCATGGTGTCTCACTCCTGTAATCCCAGCACTTTGGGAGACTGAGGTGGGAGGATGACTTGAGCCTAGGAGTTCCAGCCTGGGCAACATAGTGAGACCTTGTCTCTACAAAAAATTTTTTTTAAAAAAAGATTATTATCCAAAGCTTTTTTCTGCTTCAAGCGTCCGAGTTACCTGTTGATAAATGGGCACCAACAACTCCACCCCACAGAGTGAAAGACATTAGAGCAAGCCTCTTTGTATGTGTAGTATCTGCAGCAGAGTGAAGCTATTTGCAGTCTACCTGTTCAGTTGTGAAGAAGGAAGGTGAAAACTTTTCCAGTGAGAGTAAAATGAGACTCATTTTTTGTGAACATCTATTCCTTAGGGTGCTTTTTATTAGCACTTACAAAATTGCTAGTAAAATCTGGATGGGGTTTTATAGTTCATTTTTAACCGCTCTCCCCTCCCCCCACAAAAAAGCTCATAACTTACTACTAGGGTTTTTAGGAACACATTTTACTAGTGACTTACGTATAAGTGGCGAAGTGGCTTGTCTGAGACCTTTTAATCAGTGAGTGTTAGAAGTGTTGGAACCCAGGACTATTTGAGTCTGAGGCTTGTATACCCTGGCTTCCCCTTGTAGCTGCTGTCTGAAGCTCTACAGCTTTTTCTCCTGTGGTCATTGCTCTGCAGCTAAGCCTAGAAACTCAAAAGGCCACTATGGATATTCCATTACTGACTTCAGTGCTTTTGGCTGTATAACAATATATATTATCACAAATATACATTATTTAGGATAACTCAGAAACATTTTCACATACTTAGTTTATTTCTTCTTTCTCTACCTTTCCTTCTCTCCTTCTCCTTCTCTTTCTCTCTTATCTCCCTAATCTGGGATTACAGATATGAGCCACTGTGCCTGGCCTCATGTACTTAATTTCGATATAATGTTTCTTAAAGCAATTTAAGATGTTTAATCATTACAAAGAACTTTTAATCGTTATTAAAACCAAAGCTTTGGGTCTTTTTACACCAGGGCTAGAGTAGTATTATTGATCACATATGCCCTTGTATGGTTACTTTAAGTTATTTGTGCCAACCTCATCAACAAAGGTACCTGCATACCTAACCCTGAATTGTACCCCACATCTTTAAAATAAAAAACAAAAAAAAAGCAACAAAAAATAAAATAGGAACAAAAATAAAATACTTTTATTTTTCTTTTAAAAAAGTTACTTTGTATCAGAAAGTGTTGTACTATAATTTTATAAAGGTTATCATATAATCTCATTATTTATTACTTTTCCTTTTTAGGTACTTTTGGGCGTATTTTCCATGGGATTTTAGTAGATGAAAAAGATCCAAATAAAGAAAAACAAGCATTTGTAAAAACAGTTAAAGGTAGGATTTTTATTTTTTTTGGTAGTGTTGCTTTCCTGTCTTAGGTGGCTCATGCCAGTGAAATTCTGTCTCAATTTCTCAATGTGTGCTGGACCTTTTAAATCAGTTCGTGTTAAATGTAGCTCATATTTTTATTAACACTTTTCAGGAGATTTGGGTTATTCTCATCAGAAAGTAGAACCTGATAAGTGAAGGCATTAAACATTTATTAGACAATATTACTCAGGCATCGGGTTAAACTGCATTTACTCGACTTCATTGTTACTTTATCTGTTGTTGTTTCTCCTGGGTTAAAATCCTTTGTACATCTCTTTTTTCCCTTTAGAAATATTGTCATTAGTTTTTTTCCCCCCAGTACTGCAGACTGAAAATAAAACATGTAGACGACCCCAGGACACATAGTACTTTATGTGAATAGCTACCGTTGATCATCCCTGTGCTCACCCTTTTTTCTCTTATGTGTAAACTCCAGGAAATGGTGTGTGTGTGTGTTTCTTGGTATACTTTTGCAGGTTTAGCCATAGTTGGAGTTGCTAGCCTAAGAAATGTACACATTTAAAATTTTGATAGATATTGTCAGATTGTTCTCTAACAGATATCACTAATTTATGTTTTCAAGAACAATACCTGTTTTCACATATTCTTCTTTTGGACCATCTTTTGAAATGTGATTCCTAATTTTTTATGTATTGATTTATATAAATTATTTAATTAGAGATACAATCAAAATACTGCAGTATTACTTATACAGTTGTATGGTTTATTCCCTAATACTGGTAAATTACCAAGACTTAAAATTATTAAACTTTTAATTAGTTACAACTGATACCTGTAAAAGCTTAAATAATTCTGAGGTAAGTCTTAATTGTTCATCTTGAGAGAAAGAAAAGTGTGATAACTTATGGGGTGCTTAATATCTGTTAGTGTTTGCTGTAGGTCAAGATGACAAGAATTTGTGAAAACACATTTAGCATTTTGAATACAGAAATTGAGGGGGAAATTAAATTCAGTTTTATGAGTAGAGGGTGACAAAATTTTATAAAGTTTGCAAAGTTAATTTATAAGAACTGTTTCTAAATTTACTTAATAGAATACATGGAAAATATGAAGGATTGTGTTTATTGTTTCCGAGAAGTTGAGTGGCACCAATTTAACAAAAAACTTTTGAAATGTAATTGCTTTTGATTTAGCAAAATTGCTTATTTAAGGTCACTACAAATACACACACTAATCCACACACCTCTTAAATCTTTTGGAAACAAATGATTTAACTTACTATATTGTTCAGTATTTATTTTATCAACTCCTTCTCAGCTCGAAAAACACTTTTAAAAGTTAATATTTAAGTTGGGTTCATTGCTTCTTGGTCTTTTGTCTAAGAACAAGTGTAAGTTAGGTCCCAGTAGGTATTCTGACTGGTTTTGAAGGATCAGCTACATATTACTTTTTGTAAATGTAAAATTTGAATCATAAGATATTAAAACAACTGCCTTTTGTTACTCTTTCCCTATTTTTTAAGGTAACATTTCTTCTTAGTTCTGATATTTCTTCTGGGTTTGTAACTGTTCTATGAACTGTTTAGAAGTGGGCTATTATTAACTTGTTCTGAATGAATCTTGGATTAACAAAGGAGATTTTCATACAGAATTTGGTTGATTTAGGGTTGGAGGCAGGGGAAAGGAAATAATAGTGATAAGAAAACACAATGAGGATACTGGACTGTTTCACAAGATAAGATTTCTCTTTCCGTATATACTTGAGTTGTAGTCACTTAGTTGTTCCTATGCCTTAATGCTGTATTTATAATGTTTTCTGTGAGCTGGGCGGAAATAAGAGAAAGCACAGTGAGTTCTTATGGGCACAGAGAGGAAGTGCATTGAACAAAGCACTTGCCTCAAAATTGTTAGAAAGATAGCTTCAGATGACTGAATATCTCTGAGATTTATCCTTTTGGAATATTATTTTTATTTTTTAAGTGGTAGCTGCATCGAACTAATAAAGTTCTTTCACAAATCTGTGTGTTTGTTATATGCTGTGCAATTAGAAGTGTAGCAAAAAATACAATAAATGAAGTTTTTTAGAGAGCATTGATCTTTGCCTTTTGGCATAAAGCAGGAAATTAGAGTTTGGATTTTAAAAATATAATTTTGTTCAGAAACTTAATGGCTAGTGTATTATAAATTTTCAGAAATTGAAATTATAAACCTGAATCTTATACAATAAGCATTATGAAATTGAATTCCATAAAATAAATGGATCAATTGAAGTTGTTGATATTAAGTTCTTTTTTTGGGGTTGTTTTTTTTTTTGAGTTGGAGTCTCACTCCATCACCCAGGCTGGAATGCAGTGGCATGTTCACGGCCACCCCTTTGTCAACCTGCTGGGCTCTGGGGATCCTTCCACCTCAACCTTCCAAGTAGCTGGAACTCCAGGCATGCGCTACCACGCCTGGCTCATTTTTAATTTATTGTAGAAATGAGGTCTCACCAAGTTGCCCAGCTTGGTCTCGAACCCACAGGCTCAGGCAATCCACTCACCTTGGCCTCCCAAAGTGCTGGGATGACAGGCTGAGCCACCGAGCCCAGTCTAATATTAAGTTCTTATATTCTTTTGTAGCTGCTAAATTTTTAAATTTGGGAAGTAAACAAGTGTTTTGGTTTTCTTTTTTCTTTTTTTTAATTGTGGGGTTCAAGTCAGATTGGATGCATAAGTGGTTAGGTACAGGTGAAGTTTGGGGCCTCCCATGGGACCTCACTTTGCCTGAATTAGGATCAAGCACCCTTAGTGTTTTGTTTTTTTAAAAATCATTCTGTAGCCGTGTTCGGTGGCTCAGCCTGTAATCCCACTCCTTTGGGAGGCTGAGGTGAGTGGATTGCCTGAGCCCATGGGTTCGAGACCCGCCTGGGCAGCGAGACCTCATCTCTACAATAAATCAAAAAATCAGCCGGGCGTGGTAGCGCGCGCCTGTAATTCCGGCTACTCGGAAGGCTGAGGCGGAAGGATGGCCGGAGCCCAGCAGGTCGAGGCTGCGGTGGCCAGGAGTGGCCACTGCACTCCAGTCTGGGCGACAGAGTGAGACTCCAACTCAAAAAAAAAAAAAAAAAATCATTCTGTGCTTGTACTTTTTAGAATGTATTTAAATAGTAGTAACCTTTCCAAATGTGTACATCTTGAAGATAGACCTTTCACTTTTTAAAATTAAAAGACTAGGACTAGACTTATTAAGGAACTAGGAAAATGAGTTTTTCTTACTAAATGGCCAAGGTTATTATTTCTCTGATTGAAAAGTTTTTTAGATCATCATCTCGTTCAAGTGTTTCTTGCTTACTATAACAAACTTATCAAAGTTAAGAACTTGAAAAAAGCATATATAAAGTGACACGTCCTGAAATTACTTTTTGTTATACTTGGGTCTCCTTACCAGTTGAGGAGAGGGTAAACTCTTATTAACTGGGTGGGAACTCCAACTATTACTATTTTTTAATCCTAAAAGATCCTAGCTAGGCGTGGTGGCTCATGCCTGTAATTCTAGCACTTTAGGAGACAAAGGTGAGAGAATTGCCTGAGCTCAGAGGTTTGAGACCAGCCTGAGCAACATGGTGAGACCTTGTCTCTATGGTAAATCAAGAAATTAGCCGGGTATGGTGGTACATGCCTGAGGTTCCAGCTACTTGGAAGGCTGAGGCAGAAGGATCATCTGAGCCCAGCAGGTTGAGGCTTTGGTGGCCATGAGTGTGCCACTGCACTCCAGCCTGGGCTATGGAGTGAGACTCTGACCCCCCAAAAAAAGAATCCTACCAGCCAGCCCCCAGTAGTCCTGGCCATCATTTCACTAGAAATTACTTAGGTTATAGAAAGAGTAATAAAGGCACATTCTGCCATTTACTAAGTGTTCTTAAATTTTAAGTAGTTTTTGGACACCTAGAATGTATTCCAGCAGATATTGTATGAAGTACCTTTTCCAAAAAAATACCAGGTATTTGAAGTTTTTGACTTTTTATCCACCCGTTTTACTTAACTTCAGAAAACTCAACTAAGAGAAGTCTCTTGGAAAGGGGACACTAATAGCAAATGATGAAGAAGGAGTGAGGCAGGGAGCGAGATTTCAATGGGTGGACTTAGAAATAAATGAAATTTTAGATTTTTCAGCTCTGACAGTTCCACTTGGAGACTGAATGTGGCAATCATAGTGTCTGAGTTAAGTGGACTGGGTTTTCTCGTTGGTTCAGGATTTGTACCAGGTGGGGCTGGAATGTGGATCTTGACTTTGCCAGTCTTTTCTCCCTCTTATTCACTGGGTCAGAAACTTTATAAATTATTGCCGTTTGTACTGTTGACATAGAAATTAGCTTTTGGTTTAAAGGTAAACTACACCCTTAAGTTTGTTTTTGATATTTAAAAACTATTTTTTAAAAATTCGAACTCTTTTTCTTTGTGTAACGGAAATACACTACTCACCTAATGGAAATGTTCTTTACAAGCAGTGGAGAAATTCCTCTACGCTGTTCAGATAGTAATTATCCTTATAAGATGAGGAATCCTTGTGGGTTTGTGCAATTATGTGATGGCTTAAAAATTATTTAGACTGCAGACTAAAGATATTGGTAAATTGCATTGTTATGTTTTTATTTTAAAAATATTGACCCAAAAGTCCATTTTAGTTCTGTTTTGCTACTTTGGACCAAAAACTATGCGTTTGGAAGCTAAAACCAAAATAGAAAAATCAATAACCTGATTTTTGTTGTCATATGAAAGTTATTTAATATCGTTTGTTTGTAACCACAGAGAGGCACAAAGTAGAAAGCAATAAAATGGGTTGTAATCTACAATCAGAACATCTATGGTCATTTTCTTATAGTTGTATGTTTGTAAGGTGAGAAAATGTAAACAGAACAGAAAGGTACAAAATGTAAATTTTCCCAACTCTAAAAGTAACCATCACACGTAAACAATTTCTAATGATTCTGTCCTTGAGTAAGAAAAAACATGCTCCCAAATATAACTAATGTTTCAAATAAATTTTTTTTTTTGAGTTGTAGTCTCACTCCATCACCCAGATCCTTCAGCCTCAGCCTTCCAAGTAGCTAGAGCTACAGGCATGCGCTACCACGCCTGGCGAATTTTTGATTTATTGTCGAGATGAGGTCTTGCCAGGTTGCCCGGGCTGATCCTGAACCTGTGGGCTCAGGCAGTCCCCTCACCTTGGCCTCCCAAAGTCCTGGGATTACAGGCTGAGCCACCGAGCCCAGCCATAATTTTGTTTTTAAAACATAACTGATCATACAAAAACATGCTCCTTGCTTTTAAAATTTAATATCCCTTAGAGATCCTCCTCTGTGTACAGATAGGCCTATCTTGTTTTTAAAAGTAGCCACATAGTATTTCACTGTGCAATTTAATTAGTTCTCTGTTGATGGGTACTTTGGTTGTTTTGTCTTTTTGATGTTAGTCATTGAATTGTGTTCTATTACATTACATGTAGATGAGCTCTGGGAATGTATGTGTAGCGTAGACTCTTAGCAGTGGGACTGATCTTGCATAGTGTATCTGCATTTTAACATTTAGTCACATGTTGCTTCCCCACCTACCTAGGGTGCTATTGATGAGCTTGTTTCCTCACATTCTTGCCTAAACTGGCAAGTAACTGAAATTTTTTGTCTCTTAATCTGACAGGGGAAATATCATCTCCCGTTTTGATTTGTATTTCTTAACTTAGGAGTAAGGCTAAGAATCATTTTATAATTCTGTTGGTCATTTATTTTTTCTATCTTCAGTAAACTATATATTTATATCTACTGTTGCAATTTCAGTTTTGTCCCTTATTGATTTGTATGAGCTATTTAAAGGAGAAAAAGGAAATTAGTGTTATGTATGTCTTATGTGTTACATATACTTTTCAGTCTATTATTTGCTTTTTCTACTTTGTTCATGGAACTTTACTGAACTTACTAATTTTTCTGAAAAACTTCTGGGAAAGTTGACTTTATCTACTGCAATAGAACTTTAGGCTACATCTTTTAGATTTACCTGTAACTTGTAATGAAAATGTACCTTATAGTCCAAGATAATGATTTATTTATAGAAAATATTAATGTCATGTATATAGTATTATTATTCAAGACTTTTTTTTTTAAATACAGATCAAGCTTCTGAAATTCAGGTGACTATGATGCTTACTGAAAGTTGTAAGCTACGAGGTCTGCATCACAGGTGAGAGGAAAAGCCACCACCATTTCAGTGTTAAGCATGGCAATACTTGATGCTGCATTTTTATTTGCAGAGCATTGTGATGAGTTCTGAACTAAAGCCTTTGTGGAATAACTTATTTTTTTTTACTAAATATCAAAGTGAATGCTCATTGCACAAAATTTAAAAACTCTAATAAAGTATAAAGAAAATAAAGAGCAGTATATAAGCTCACATCTGAATAATCATAGCTCATCTTTCCAGAAATAATTTATACATTATATTTATGCTCATATTTCTCTTAAAACAAGATGATGGTATACATGTTAAGAAATATTTGTAGTGAAATGTTTGAATATATAGAACACCAAAGACAGTAATAAACATCAATAAATCTAATTCCTAAATGCAGTGATATTTAACAGTTTGCTCTATTTGCTTTGGGGTGTGTGTATGTGTGTATTCATCTATATCTAGAGATCTATGTCTCGGAATATGCCTATCTATATATTTGTCTGTGGAAATGTTTTCGAGTAAATTTGACATTTCAGCACTTTTAGTGCATGTCCACCATGTGTTTTTTTTAAAAAAGAAAACATTTTTCTGTATAATTATAATTATAATACCATTATTGTCTTTGACAAGATTATTATGCTTCTTAATATAACAAAACAAAGTATTCAACCTTTCCTTTCAATAATTATAAATCCATGTCATTTTGAAAGGCTACATAGTAGTTCATTGACCAGTTATATTACATTTTATTTAACCAATTCCTCATATGTGATTATTAGGTTATAGTATGTTTGTTTTTTTTTTTTGGAGTTGGAGTCTCACTCTGTCGCCCAGACTGGAGTGCAGTGGCCGCTCCTGGCCACCGCTGCCTCGTCCTGCTGGGCTCCGGCAATCCTTCCACCTCAGCCTTCCGAGTAGCCGGAATTACAGGTGTGGGCTACCACGCCCGGCTGATTTTTTGATGTATTGTAGAGATGAGGTCTCGCTGCCCAGGTGCGTCTCGAACCTGCAGGCTCAGGCAATCCACTCACCTCAGCCTCTCAAAGGCGCGGGATTACAGGCTGAACCACCGAGCCCGGCTTAGTATGATTTTTTTTAAAAAACTACTTGTAGTTCCATATGAAGAGCTTTTTTTAAAGCTTGATATTGGTCCTGTTCACAGAGCTATAGCAAAAACTTTCACCTTTTGAGCCAGAAGGGGCTCAGATACAGCGGGCATCATAATGTGTGGCAGTCTTAATATCGGAGCAAATTTTTTTTAAGCGCTGTAGAATGTCCATCTGTATGCCTACTGAAAATTTGATTACATATGTTTAAAAATGGAATTCGATCATCCCTGTTGGAAGATGTTTATGGACTTCTGAAAAATAGGTTTTTGTTACTGGATACTTCAGGCGGTTGTTTGAACTCTGCTAAAAAATAAGATCAGTGTACAGAGCTTTAGTTTTGAACTTTGTTAATATTTTGGTTAATTTGAGGGCCAAAGGCAGCTGCAGTAAGAGCAATAAAATAGTAATGAAAATGAAACTGAGCATTTTGGCATTGTGGGGTAGAAAAGAAAACAAATAAGCCAATAGTAAGGAGACAACTATTTTTGCTGTGATTGAATATAAAACAACTTTTAGCTTCTGGGTAGCCAAAGGTGAAGAAAACATGAAAAGCTGATAAACCTTAGTAGCAGAAGGGAAAGGAACAGAGTTGGAATATTGGAGTATTGCAAATGTCCTTTTTGGCAGTGTTTGGAATGCTTGATGTGCTGACTCTTGGGGGGGAAAGCCAGAAGCGTTTAATCCTATTGTACAGTGTTAACCTGGTGTTCAGATACCTAGCCATTATTCTTACCCAGAAGTGAGTGGCAGGGATAAATGTAGACAAAGCCAGGTTATTCCCAATAAGTAATTTTATATTCACTGTAGCACTAAAGATGCCTTGATTGAAAAATGTACAGAGTAAGTGTTTGCAACAGTCTCCCTCGTGCAGCCTTAGGCTGCAAAGCTTTCCAACATCCTCCTAGGATGAGTTAGCAGCCCCAGGTTATCCTTAGGGAGTGGAATAACATGACATACTGCACTGGAGCATTTGATACTGGATATTAAGAAAAGCCTTCTAAAGGTAAGTTGTAGCATGGCCAAGGTTAATTGTTCTTTCTGGCTATGAAGTGATACCAGAACCCCTAGTTCTGATGAATCTTGCCTGTCTGTAGAAAGTATACTGTATACTTTTACTGTATAAGCTCATTCACTCTACAAGTTCATTTCATTTTTAAGGAGTCTGGCTGGGCCTACCACGCTTTTCTTTTTGACCCCTGATGTCTGTAGCTTGTTCATGGCTATGTGTATGTGTTTGTTTGCTCATTCTTTCTAATTCATTAAGTACCCATTTTGCACTTGGAACTCTACTAGGCAGGAAGAATAAAAATGAAGTGATCTTCAGAGATCATATTATATAATTTATCAAGCAAACTCAGTACGCTCAGCAAGAAATGACACCCGTTTCAGACTTAACTTTTTTAGCTGGTTGTGGTATGTAATTTAACATGTTTGCTAATTATCAAAATGTTTTAAAATATTTTGAAATTCTTTTCATTCCATTTTCCTCTGGAATTTATGAGAGTAATTAATTTTATAAGTTAAAATAGCTGTACAGATAAAGTGTATCAATCTGTTTTAATTTTCATCAGAAGTGCTTTGTATCAGAGTACTTTGAGCCACTTCAGCCTGTAGCTTGGCTCCTGAGTCAGGCCCAGGAGGCCTGATGGTGGGTGTTTTATGCTGAATGACTCCAGGCTCTTCCTCTGCAAGTGCCCTCGGCAAGATTGAGAACTAGAAGCAATTCTCGAGTCAAGCCCCACAGAACCTACCCTTCTTCTACCGTCTTTCACCTTCTTTCTGCTCTACAGCACCTCCTTCTGCTCTAAGCCACTCTTCTTAGAGGTCTGAGACCTTCCACCTGGTGCTCCTTTCCGTTATAAAATGGGCAGAACGAAGAGCAGCCATTTGTGCTTTGAAACCTTTGCATGCATCTTGTTATGTCTGCCTCTGGGTTTTTAATACTGTAGCGGTAGGATAAAGGATTTGACCTCATCCAGCAAAGGTATTTTGCCTGGATAAAATACCTTTAACTCTGCTAAATGAAATTCAGGCATGAAGGAAGAAACAGGAATAAACTTTTTGTAGGGGAGGCGGTTAAAGAGATCGGGCAACTCTTTGTGTTCACCCTGAAACCCTGGTATGCTCCCGTTAATCCCGAGTGTAACCTGAGTCCTTTCAGTGTTCTGGGAGTTGGTGAAAAGGAGACTCTGTAACCCCCCTGTGCCTTCCTTTGGTTCCCTGGGAGGGAGTGTCCTGTGGTCCAGGGGAAAGCTCAAGGGTTTTGGAATCAGACAGAGATCTGAATTTTGTTTCTTCTTGGCAGGTTACCTAGCCTTTCTCCCCAGCATGGGTTTCCTTGCCTACAGAATGGGACCAGTAATCGCTGCCACTCACAGAGAGACTGCCTCTTACAGGTTGACTGATCTGAGTCCTTGTTTTCCTGGCTTCTCAGGATCAGTTCTTTCCCTGCTAGTAACTCCTGCAAATACGAGGGAGCCCACACGTTTGCCACTTGTGTAGTGGTGGTCATGCTGCCCATTTTTCAGTTTTTAAAAAAAATTGTAAAGATGTGGGATACAATTCAGGGTTAGTTATGCAAATGTTGATTATGCCGGTACCCTTGTTGATGAGGTATGCCCCTCCCTCCCTAGCAGTTTCCCTCAACTGCCAATCCCACCCCCCTCCCCTGACAGTTAATTTTTCACTGTTACTTAAAAAATTATATATGCTCAGCTGGTTGTAGTGGCTCATGCCTGTAATCCCAGTACTTTGGGAGCCAAGGCAGGCAGATTACTTGAGCTCAGGAGTTCAAGACCAGCCTGGGCAACATGAACCTCATCTCTACAAAAACTCAAAAAACAAACAAACCAAACACCAAACAATTACCTGGGTGTGGTGGCATGTACCTATAATCCTATCTACTTGGGATGCTGAGGTGGAAGGATTGCATGAACCCGGGTGGTACAGCCTGGGTGACAGAGACCCTGACTCAAAAAAAAAAGATGCATTCTGAATTGAGACAATTTTTAGGAAATACAGAAAAGCAAGATCGAAGCTATCTGTAGTCCAACTCAAAAGCAGAGTTATTTCTATGCAATTTTATTTTTTCTATATTTGTGATTATCTTGCAAATGTAAATTTCCTTTCTTGCTATCTTTTTTCTGCTTCTATGAGCTTTTACTCATGTTCTCATAATATCTCTTTGTGACCATTTAATTGTCAAATATTATCCCATTGTTCTTTCATTACTTTTGAACATTCAAGCTGTTTGCAAATTTTTACTATTAGCGCATTAAATCCACCTTTTTTCATACAGCTTGTTTATGTTTATTATTTCCTTATTAAACATCCTTAGAAGCCAAATTTGCTAAGGAGGATTTTTTAAAAAGCTATTATTATTTGTGTGTTTACCACATATTTATTAAATTTTGTTTTATATGGCACAGAATACAAAGCATTGGGTATCAAAAATTAAATCTATGATCATTTTTTGCCTTCTAGCAATTTTCAGCTTACTGGGGGAGTACGATGAGATGACTGTAAAATGTTACATAACCTTGGGAAAAAGTAGTTATTTTCAGATATCCATGGAAGGGGTATCATTAGACAGTAGGGTGAAATGTATGTCTGTATGCCATAGACATATACATTAACATAGGAACAAGATTGTCTGCTACACACTTGGTTATGTTTTGCACATCATAGCAACCCTTTATGGTTGGTAGTGTCCCTGTGTTATAAGGATGGAAGTTAAATCAAGAGACACATGTTCACACATATAGGAATTAGTAAATCTAGGATTCAGAAATCTGATTCTAAATACTATGTGACCAGCTATGAACTTGGCGGCTTTGTGGCCATTTCAGCCTCTTTAGAAACCTTTTTGGTGATCATAGTCTTGTCCACGGTCTGGATGAGCCTTTTTTTAAAGCAGGTATTATAATACACTTGTGGTCAAGTCACTTTTTAGGTGCCTCTGATTACCCTTTGGAGTAGATTTAGTGTGCACTAAAGCGAGCCTGTAGAGGACCTGGTTCACAGGAAGCAACTTGGAGTTGATGGTTTTGCCTTTCAAGAATGTGCACGTATGGGGATCATTTAAGTCTGGTTTAAAATCGAGAAGATTTGTAATTTTACGTTGTTAATGATAATCATGTTTTACGTATGCTTGGGATTTTGTTTTGTTTTAGGTTATCTTTATTTTATTCTTGAAAATAAGCCCCTTAAGGTTTTAGATTTCATTTGTCTTTTTCCCCGTTTTTTGTTATTTTATAGAAATCTTCTTCCTATTACTCATGTGTGTATAGAAGAAGGAGAAAAGCCCATGGTGATATTGCCTTACATGAATTGGGGGAATCTTAAATTGTTTTTACGGCAGTGCAAATTAGTAGAGGCCAATAATCCACAGGTGAGATAAATTTGCCCAAATACCAATTATTTACCAGTAGTTTCTGATAATGTCTTTGAAAGCAGATACTAACATTCTTACATATAAGCTGTTTAAAGAGCTGAAGTAAATTAGCTCAGGATATTTATAACCAGTTGATTTAGAGGAAAATGGTACATAATTTTTGCCTTGAGGCTTACATTTTACTGGTGCTACAGTTTTTTCTGATTGTCTATTCATAATCAACTGAACCCTTTATAATGTCTTTCATCATTTTCCTGAGAAATCTTTGGAGGCACTTGTCCCTTTTAGGAATGGAGCAGACTTTGCGAACCATTTGGTTCATGTTGTACCAAAAGCTAGTGATGACTTGAGGTCTAGATTGTGGGAGATAACTGGATATTGTTATTATGCTTGGCTGTAGGATGTCACCCATCTAAGTGTTTCTTTCTTTTCCCTGCTTGTGCATGTAACTGTGAAGCATTTGGTCAGATTCCAAACATGTTGTGGTGGTAGTGGTAGTAAAGCCTGCTGGGTGTTTTGCTGTCTGCTGTTTCTTATAGCCCCATTAAGTTGGCTTTAGGACTTATAGTAATGCACAGTTATTACAGTTGCCAGGAGAAGATGAATTCAAAGGCTGCGGTATTTGACTTAATATATATGAGATGCTTTGTAAGTGGACAGGATTAAGACTGGGATTCCCAGCAAGTGACCAGAGGCTGTGGCCCGTCTGCATCACCTATGAGAGTTTTATTCACTCAGTCCCCAGTACTGGCATACATCTAGAGGAGTATATCAGTAGAGAGAACTGTAGACTTGTATTAGCTTGATGATGGTCCCCAGGAGAGAATCTCCTGATAAAAACTACTGCTTTAAAAGAAAAGAACAAGTTACTGAATAATACACATTTGAAATATTACCTTGAGAACTCAGTGATTGCTGAACAGCTGTTGATTGAGCAGTTATATATGTGTGGAATATTGGGGAGATATATCTTAGATGAGGGGAAACAGTCTAAATGATAAATTAATTACAGAATAGCAAGGACTGTGGTTGATAAAAGTATAGTGAACTATGGGAACATATTCTTGGTCAAGAAATAGCTTTTTTAAACTCAATGTGTAGGTGCAAAGGTGTATTTTTGGATGTAGTAGCATTGTAGAATAAAATGAGCAGGCACCATTGTAATTCTTGTGCTACTTACAAGCCTTACCATTTTCTGTTACTATAGGCGATTTCGCAACAAGACCTGGTACACATGGCTATTCAGATTGCCTGTGGAATGAGCTACCTGGCCAGAAGGGAAGTCATCCACAAAGACCTGGCTGCTAGGAACTGTGTGTAGGTGCTACAAGCTCGTTACTATAACTCGATATGTAGTGCTTCCTGGGTTTGGGTTTCTCTAGGAGTCATAGTGGGACTTGTGTTGTATTTATGGGTGACAGTGGTTTATACTTTTTAATACTATGATTGCATTTGACATTCATGTCATTATTTTTCAGCATTGATGACACACTTCAAGTCAAGATCACAGACAATGCCCTCTCCAGAGACTTGTTCCCCATGGACTATCACTGTCTGGGAGACAACGAAAACAGGCCAGTTCGGTGGATGGCTCTTGAAAGTCTGGTCAATAATGAGTTCTCTAGTGCCAGTGATGTGGTAAGTGCTGGGACCCCCAGGTAGCAAGATAATAGAGAAGAAGCTTTCTGTTTTAAAATATCTTGCTGTTTGGGGGGGTTTTGTTGTTGCTGTTTTTCATCTAATAACTGTCTCCTGACATTTTTCATCTGGGTTACAAGTATAGTTAGCTTGCCGTCTGCCAGTTAGGGAGTGGAGCTTGACCCAGACCTGGGCCAGCACTGTGTAATCTCATTTCATCCTCACAGTTCCACTGTGTGGGGCTCTCTTCACACTGGTCCTGATTATAAAGGTGTGGATATTGAGGCTTACAGAGCTAACAGTATTTGATTATTTTTATTTTCTTATTTAAGAGTCAGAATGACCAAGTGGTTGTCAAATCATAAAGATGCTTATTTTCTTATTTTCAGATGACCCCGTGACTGTTAATGTTCGATATACTTTATAATTCCCCATGTGCCACTCTCTTTTTTGGGGTCAGTTTCTGAGTAGTTTCTGAGTAGGTCTACCTACTCAACCAGATAACACAATTGGGTACTTTACACTTGGTGGCGTACGGCTTTAGAAGCCACATCTGTTTGTGGGTATTTTGTAACCACTTTTTATTTTTATCACTTGACTTTTTAGTCTTAATTGGAAATTAAGCTTAATTTAGTGGCTTTTTCTCTTGTCTGTTATACTTTATGTTATTGTGGCTTAATAGTTACAGATTTGGTAAACTGTTGCTTATAGTGTCATATGTATCAATGTATCTTGTGTCTCTATATAAACACTTTAAAGATTAATCTTTTAAGACTGGGCGCAGTGGCTCATACCTAATCCCAACACTTTGGGAGGCAGAGGCGAGAGGATTGCCTGAGCAAATTGGCAAGACCTCATCTCCACAGTAGATCAAAAAATTAGCCAGGTGTGGAGGTACATACCTGTAGTTTCAGTTACTTGGAATGTTGAGCCAAAGGATCACCTGAGCCCAGCAAGTTGAGGCTGTGGTAGCTTGATTGTGCCACTGGCGACAGTGAGTCTCCTACTCAAAAAAAAAAAAAAAAAAGGATTATTCTTTTAATAGTATATTATTATACACTAAACACACATTAATTATAGTAATTGATGAATACTCTTTTCCTCAGTGTATTAGATTTCTATGGCTATTGTAACAAATTGCAAATATTTCTTAAAACAGTAGAGATTTACTTTCTCACAGTTTAGTTCTGGAGGCCAGAAGTCTGAAGTCAAGGTTTAGATAGGGTATGCTCCCTCCAGAGACTCAAAGGGAGAAATTCCTTTCCTCCTTCAGCTCCTGGTGGCTGTTGGCATTTTGGGCTTGTGGTTCTGTCTCTTTGTTCCAAGTTCATACCACCTTTTCCTTCATGCATGTCTGTCTTGTAAAACTCCCTCTTAAGAGGATACATTTAGTTGAGTTTGGGACACACCTACATAATCCAGAATATGTTTTACCTTTCAAGGTTCTTCACTTCAGCGGTCCCGACCTTTTTGGCATCAGGGACTTTCGTGGAAGATAATTTTTTTCATGGGTTGGAGGATGTGCAGTCAAGCCTCACTGCTGATGTTCATCTGTATTTGCAGCCATTCCCTTGTGCTGTCATTACCACCTCAGATCGTCAGGCATTAGATGCTCTAAGGAGCACCCAACCTAGCTCCTTTGCATGCGCAGTTTACAGTAGGGCTTGCGCTCCCATGAGAATCCAATGCCGGCCCTGATCTGACAGCAGGCGGAGCTTGTAATGCGAGTGATGGGGAGCGGCTGTAAATACAGAGAAGAACCTTTGCTTGCTCACCCACCGCTCACATCCTGCTGTGTGGCCTGGTTCCTAACAGGCCACGGATTGGTACTGCTTCACTTAACCACATCTTTTGCCATTTATGGTAATATTTACAGGTCTCTGGGATTAAGACATATATATCTTTGGGGCTACTATTCAACTCCCTATTCTCAGTAATTAAGATGATCTGAGTTTCCTTATTGAAAAAATGATATTCTAATTTAAAATCCTTGTAGTGAGAATGATTTGATGAGGAAGAAAAACCTCCTCATTAATTATAATCTAGTAATTAGTTATAATCTCCTAATTAATTTTTTCTTTTGTAGTATCTGTGCTGTTTGATACATTGCTTCCATTACATACCAAGTATCTTGATAAAATGTGTTCATTTGCTGTACATACACAATTTACTTATTTTGTGCTTTTTTTCACTTCTTGAAAGCTTTTCGTTGTGTATATCTTCAAAATATTTTGTTTTAACTTAATTTTAGAGCAGCTATTCTCCCAGAAAGACAAACAAACAAAAAACCTTATCTGACTCTTAGGTGGGCAGAGCACACGTGCCTGATTATGTGAAGGGATGTTAGTCGCGGTGTCAGAGGCGAACAGGGTGGAAGTCGGCTTCCAGCTGCCCATAGCCTCCCTAGGCCAGACGGGCATGGGTGTGGCAGGGTGAGGGAACTTGATCTAGACACTTAGATGCCGAACTCTAGGATCAGCTTGTGTAGCAAGAGGAATTCAACCTAGTCTGTTTTTCCAGAGCTTTGATGATAAAATAAAACTTTCTGTAACATTAACATCTAGAAGTTAAAATCTCTATTAAAGAAATACAAACATGCAAAGCCACATACACAGTTTTAAGGATTATCTAAAGAAAACCTGGGCTATTTTTTTAGGGGGCAAGGGCTTTTATTTTTGGTTTTGATTTTTTTCAAATGGTATATAAAGAGAAAGCAGTTTAATTTTAGGCCAGTGTGCAGTTGCTACATTGAATAACAATTCTACTCTTCAATAGCAGGTTTGGTTTTCGAGTTGCTAAATCTCTAGTCACAAGTTCTCAGTCGTAGCTGGAATTGTTTACCAGCTTCCACATTAAGCACAACTATTTTAAAGGCCTGAGAGGGGATTGATGAAACTTTGTTCTAAAACACAATATCAGTTGAATTAGAGCTGTTTGGTTTTTAAATCCACCCCTTTAGTTAAAAAGCCTGCATCTAAACATTTTTAATAGAGCAAAGCAAATGAAATGTTTCTGTGTTTACTTTGAAAAGCTCATTCCATAATTTATTTATTTATTAAATTTTATTTATTAACTGTCCAATCCAGTTTTTAAAATTTTTTAATTTTAGATTTGGGGGTACCCATGTGTATTTGTTACATGGACATATTGTATATTGGTGGGGATTTAAAAGATGAATTCACTCATCTCTTTGGGATATTAATTTTTTTCCAGTTAATTTAAAGCATTTATTTTGTTGCTCATTGAAATATAGTATAGTTACCTTTGCTGAAATGAAATAGCAATTGCTGTGAACTTAAAACTAGTTTGATGAACAGAAAATAGAAGATATTTCTTAGATAGCAGTCTGTAAGTATTTCATATAACTTCAAGAGATTGGAGAACTTTTTTTATTCTCTTAGAAAAAGGAGTATTGACAGCTAATATTTCAGAGAGGTTTGCAAGATGGCCAGTGGTGCTGTTTGGTTGCACACACGTTGAAAGCCCCAAAACATGCATTACTTAATGCATTTATTTCTGTAAGATTTTCTGTTGTATGATTAAGCAGTGATAGGAATTACTCTTATAACATTTCTGACTAGATACTTCCTAGGAACTCCAGTGTCAAAATTTATCAAAATTAGTCTCTGCAGCTGGGTATTAGGTGGTAAAGCTCATGTTGGGGACACTTGGTTTAGTTAAGCAGAACATTTTACAATCATATTAGAATTAGTTGTTTTCATGGTTATGAAATTTTATGCATTTTGTAAGAGTTCACCCATTTTATGTAAGAATCTACCTTTATTTGTATGCAGTTATACCAAATACATTGTTGCTGCTGTTCACTTGACAGCTGTTTATTTATTTATTTGCATCAGGCTGTTGTCCAGGCTGGAGAGTAGTGGCACACTCACGGCTCACCACAGCCTCAACCTTCTGGGCTCAGGTGATCCTTCTGCCTCAGCCTCCTGAGTAGCTGGGACTATCGGTATGCACCACCGCTACCATACCTGGCTAATTTTTTTATTTTTTGTAGAGACGAGATCTTGCTATGTTGCCCAGGCTGGTCTCTAACTCCTGGGCTAAAGAAATTCTCCCACCTCCGCCTTTCAAAGTGCTGCGATAACAGGTGTCATGCCTGGCTGACAGCTTTATTTTTACAAATTACCATTAACTTAATGGTGAGCAGTTTAACTGGATAATTACTTTAAAGTCATAATTATTTTCAGTCTGTCTTGGCATAAACTTACTTTAAATGTCTGTATGACTCAGATTCTTCTTAGCTGTACTAAGTTAGCATGAGACGGAAGAATACTCCTTGATTTACATTTAACATGGTTAACTTCTAAAATGTTCTTATTTTTCTTTTTTAGGTTATTATGAATTCATTTTTAAATTATATATACATAACTCCTTTGTGCTGGGTAATTGGGATTGAAAGAATTAGGAATTAAAAAAAAAAGAACTAGGAAAACTCTTCTATGTCAGGCACAGTGGCTTGTGCCTATAATCCCAGCACTTTGGCAGGGATTTCGAGACCAGCCTAGGCAACCTGGCGAGACCTCATCTCCACAATAAATCAAAAAAGTTAGCCAGGCGTGGTGTTGCATACTTGTAGTTCCAGCTACTTGGAAGGCGGAGGTGGAAGGATCACCTGAATCCAGCAGCTCGAGGCTGCAATGACTGGAGCATGCTACTACACTCCAGCCTGGGTGACAGAGTGAGACTCCAACTCAAAAAAGTAAAATAAAAATAAAATAAATGTGCCGGGCTCGGTGGCTCAGCCTGTAATCCCATGCCTTTGGGAGACTGAGGTGAGTGGATTGCCTGAGCCCGTGGGTTCGAGACCCGCCTGGGCAGCGAGACCTCATCTCTATAATAAATCAAAAAATCAGCCGGGCGTGGTGTTGCATGCCTGTAATTCCGGCTACTTGGGAAGGCTGAGATGGAAGGATCACCGGAGCCCAGCAGGTCGAGGCTGCGGTGGCCAGGAGCGGCCACTGCACTCCAGTCTGGGGGAC